ACAAAATGAAGAAGAAGAAAACCCATTTGGAGTTTTCAAATGGGATTTTGGTTATAAATACATAGAGGTAGCTGCAGCCTCTTTGCATGAACATTTGAACATTTTGAACAAATGGTTAAGGATTTTCAAGAAAATGGTCACACGCACAGGGCAGTTCACGCCCGTTATGCACCCACGTCAAATTATTGAGTCTCCGCTTGAGAGAAAACTAGACAATTTCTTGTTTTGCTTTCTCATTTTATCGAAAAAGATGGGTCTCTTTCTTTACCAAAAAAAGAAAAGATGGGTCTCTTTATTGAAAGGGAGTTACAGTCTTGTTAATTACTTCATATTTCATAATCAATGTCAAAATCTGAAAGCCAAGCCCTTTCAAAGCTAGGTTCTAGGTTTCAAGTTTTACCTAGCTATAGTAGTAAATCTTCCTTTCTTAATCGCTTGTACTAAAAGAAAAAACAAATTTAAGTAATGATAGAGACATCCAAATGAGAATAATTTGAGAATTGCCGATAATTATTCAAACTTTTAAAATTCCATTTGATGTGATAACATTTCATTTAATCTATATATATTATCTATATATATAAAGTAAAAGGCAAAAAATGGTAAAACATTCAAAATATCAGAAAATGCCCTTAGTTAATGCAAACATAAGAATTGAAATTATTAATTAAATGAGGATAATATTGTAAATTCACACTTTTTCATATTAAGAAAAATTAAAATTAAAAGAAAAATCAAATAATGGATCCTATTTTTATGGAACAAAACTACCCATTATTATTATTTTAATTCTAACATAAATTTAAATTTATTAATAAATAAATAAAACCTCTCCCAAGAGCGGAAGCGAGTGGGGAGAGCCTATGGTAAAACATTCAAAATACCAGAAAATGTCTTTGGTTAATGCAAACATTAAGAATTGAAATTATTAATTAAATAAGGATAATATGGTAAATTCACATTTTTCATATTAAATAAAATAAAATTAAAAGACAAATCAGATAATGGATCCTATTTTTATAGAACACAACTACCCATTATCTTTTTTAATTCTAAAATAAATTCCGCGCTTGCGGAGAGGCTAGTAATCAATAGAGCAAGTGTTATATTATGTGTCACATTATTTGTTAATTAACTTGAGGTAATAATTGGTATATCTATATATATAAAGCAAAAGGCAGAGAATGGTGAAACATTCAAAATACTAGAAAATGTCCTTGGTTAATTCAAACATTAAGTATTAAAATTATTAATTAAATGAGGATAATATGATAAATTCACATTTTTTCATATTAAAAAAATAAAAATGAAAACAAAATCAGATAATAGGTCCTACTTTTATGGAATATAACTACCCATGTTATCTTTTCTCAATTCTAAAAATAAAAGAAAAAAGAAAAAAGAAAAAAGAAAACCAATTGACACATGCGTAAGGGGCTAGTGTTGTAGAAAAAGGCAATTTTTTTGTTATACAAGCGATATTGGGAGACGGAGGAATCGAACCGAAGACCTCGGATGCAAGGGTAAATGCTCTTAACCATTTGAGCTTTAAGCCCCTTACTAAATCTAGACATTTTAAATTCCAATTGATGATGCAGTTTTCCTTTATGTTCATATTTGGTTTCACACTAACCTTCTTTGTTTCTTGCTAGTAAGATAAATATGAGAAAGTTGCATGTGAATTGTGATTATTTTACGGATGAATTTGGGTGTTGATACGATACACCATGTGTCCATGAAGATGCATCTACAAATTATTACACGTGTACTATTTTTATAAAAATATTATTATTTAAAATTTATATCTAAATGTTGGACTTACAATCTGTACATGTGATATAATTTGGGAGAATTCGATATACCACATCATTATGTCATGAGTGTATTGTATACACTAAAATAATTATCTACTAATCATTTGGTTTAATGGCATTTAATCTTCATTTTGTCCAATAGTGGAACCAAAAATATGAGCTTTCATTACAGTTTCTCTGAAAGGGGACTAGGCTGGAAATTTGGGTTGGCCTGTTGGGCTGGAGGTTTGCGCTAAGATGGGATTAACACAGATAAATACACAAAGGAAAAGTTTTAATGAACAACTTGGACATGACTAGAGTCCATTCCACGCTTCAAGTAGTTCCGCACATGAAGTCAAATCTCATGCACGACTGTAGGTGAATAGAAGTAAATTAGGGAAGACTTTTCGTGACCATAGTGGAGAAGTAAGGATTGCTTACGCCATATATGGAAATTGGGAGTACTTCACCTAGCATTTACTGCGACTTTGTCCCTGTAGCAAGTAAAAAGTAGGAGTAGATGGTTCTTCCATGTTTTGCTCTCAGTCCCATGCTGAATCATTTTTACTTGCCTCAGTTCAGTTCCCTGGTGAGACCGCAGGCCTTGTAGCAGTGTAAGATAAATGGCAATGGACTCCAAAAGTCATCATTGTGATTGAGTAGCTCTCTCTCTCTCTCTCTCTCTCTCTCTCTATGACGAGTAAATTTGCTAATTTTGAGTCAATTTGGAGTGCTGTTGTTTGTTACTTATTAGAGCAGATGACTTTGTTGGTAATTTGGTCAAGTATGCACATGGGCTGATGATCATAATGATGTGTACAACTTCAATGACTTGCACCACTAAATTGATAAATATAGCTATGTATACCACCATCCTGTAATACAATTTGAAATTTCAAACCCATTTTCAAGCTATATAGGTACCATGAGATCTCTAAACTAACCTACTTATAGGCCACGAACACCTTTTAGCATAGTAGAAAGTTAATGGCAACATCTACACAATAACGTTATTTTTATGTCCAATTTGTGGCAAACACCCTTTGGCCACTAATAGTGGCGAAGCCAGGATTTCATGTGTGTGGGGGCCTCTTACAAATTATAAAGAATCAAAAATTCGAACTCATAATATATACAAAAAATAGTGTATATATATATATATCACATATGTCAAGAATTATATCGCTTATTGGTTGCAATCATAATTGTTTTCGACAAAGGGATAGACAAATACATTCTAAGCAAGAAAAATTGCAAGAGATAGACAAAGAGTATCGATTTAGCAAATATCTTTAAAGCTTTTTCCCCATTAAATCCAATAGAAAGGAAAAAAAAAAAATTCAAAATTTCCCAAATTAAAAACAATCTTAGGCCCCTTTATGCATTCATATCATACATGAAAAAATATTGACTAAGTATGAAAAATGGTTTTTCGGAATAATCATTTTCTCAAGATAATTTTTGGCGGCTTTTATTCCTTACACCTGAAATAAGAAAACTTGATTTTATGGGATTTTAGTATGAAGTATATATTGACTTAATGAGCCATCATTTTTAGCCTAAATCGTATTTTACACTAAAACCTGTTGACGCAGAAAAATGGTTCAACACTTTCCCGCGCAACTTAGTGATTAAGTCTCTTCGGTATCTGATGTCCTCGGTAGGGTGTGCGATCTGTAAGATAGCAAACACACGGTAAGTCCTAGGGCACCGGTGTGGTACCGGCCGAAGGCTCTCCGATACTTAAGTAAGTACGGATTTAGTAAGGTTGAACTGCAGATCAATAGGCAGTATGCCGTAAGTTCTGATCGATTACCTCCAAGCTGGGATGGTTGTCCTCTTTTATAGGCCTTGGGAGGTGTGCAATTTGTTTAGAGTTTCGATGTGGGACTCTGGGCGTCAGTTGTGAGACTGCCATGCGTCAAAGGGGGCGAGGTTGCCCTAATGTTGCGATCGGTGGGTTTGGTACCGAAGGTGGGTGCCGAAGGCACACATGGCCCTGGTTTAGCCCACGTGTTTGATATTCATTGGCTGTTCATTTTGGTATAAACAGGAGTCCCCCAAGTCCCCTTGCGAGAGTTCTCGGAAGGGGATTTGAAGTTATCTTCGGAAGGAATCGTGGCCCTACCGTTCGGCAGTCCAACTGGGTGAAAGGGCTAAACTTTGTCCCTTCCGGCATTATTTGTTCAGAGGCTGACGTCGGTGAAGTCAGAAGATCGCGTCAAGCTGACGGGTGAAGGGACGTCTGAGCGCTTCGACTTCCGCGCTTTGCGTGCCGTCTGTCCCCCACAGGACGAGCGACACGTGGCGAAAGTAATGATGGCGCGCGGCGCATTAATGCGCCGTTTGGTTTTTCGAGGAGTACCGTTGCCAACCACCCCCTATAAATAGGGATGACCCCGGAGGCGAATTCACTTTGCATCTAGTGAGAAGTGAGAGCTCTGTTTGAGGCGATTTCCGACGAGGGCTTCCGGTAATCAGGCGATTTCCGACAAGTGTTAACGGTAACCAGACGATTTCCGGCGTTTCGAACGGTAGGAAAGGCGATTCCCGATATTGCGAACGGCAGTGACGCATTCTGAAGAGCAGATCGTGCTTATCTTCCAGAGTACACATTAAGGTACCGTT